CTGTTCTAGATTAAAGGCTTTTAGCAAAGTGTGTCTTCTACATTCAGTGCATTCAGATCGTTGCTTCTCCCAACGATCTTTGCATTTCTTCTTTTGACCACATAACATTTTTAAAATTATGATAATTATGCAATTTCAAAGAAAACACCAGCCTCAGCAGTTTCTAATTTCCTAACATGAGGTTCTGCACTCTGACAGACTTCTATACTCAAGCTCATTAAAGGCTCAACACACTTCTCTCACAGTCATTCCTCAACTGACATTCCCTAACTGTCATCCTGTTTAAACCTGAACATTCTAAACTGTCACTGAGTCGGTCACGTGACCTGCAGCCCCTCCCACTGTTTTAGGTAAGTAGAGATAAGGAAACAGCAAATCATATAAGATATACTTCAGGTTATAAAACGACACATTACAAAACAGACAAACATCATACAGATGAGGCTTGAGAAAGTTGCTTCTCCCAACCATCTTTGCATTCTATAAATACAAAGAGTCTGAGTGCTAGTTCTGCTCTTTCTCTCCTTAGCTGAAACAAACAAACAAACAAACAAACAGAAACATATGCACTTTACAGGGGTATGACATTTTCTGGAATCTTGGTAAAATGGTGTGGAGACCATTGTCCACTAAGAATTCAGCTGAAAAGCCCTAAATTTTTCAAAAGGATTAAGGCTTTACTAAGGACCTCATCACATTGAAGTTCTGAATCCAGGGAAAAGTAGAGGCATCCGTAGGACAGTGGGGCAAATCTGGCGGACCTGCATCATCCCCTTCAAAACAATCTTAACAGATTAGAGAGATGGGCCAAAACTAACAAAATGAAGTTCAACAGTGACAAATGCAAGATACTCCACTTAAGCAGAAAAAATGAAATGCAAAGATACAGAATGGGGGACACATGGCTCGAGAGCAGTACGTGTGAAAAAGATCTTGGGGTCCTCATGGACAATAAGTTAATCATGAGCCAACAATGTGATGTGGCGGCAAAAAAAGCCAATGGGATTTTGGCCTGCATCAATAAGAGTATAGTGTCCAGATCTAGGGAAGTCATGCTACCCTTCTATTCTGCCTTGGACAGACCACACCTGGAAGATTGTGTCCAATTCTGGGCACCACAATTGAAAAGAGATATTGTCCAGCTGGAATGTTTCCAGAGGAGGGTGACTAAAATGATCAAGGGTCTGGAGAACAAGCCCTATGAAGAGCGGCTTAAAGAGCTGGGCATGTTTAGCCTGAAGAAGAGAAGGCTGAGAGGAGACATAATAGCTATAAATAAATACGTGAGAGGAAAACATAGGGAGGAGGGAGCAAGCCTGTTTTCTGCTGTCCTGGAGACTAGGACGTGGAACAATAGCTTCAAACTACAAGAAAGGAGATTCCATCCGAACATTAGGAAGAACTTGAAAGCTGTTCAGCAGTGGAACTCTCTGCCCCAGAGTGTGGTGGAGGCTCCTTCTTTGGAAGCTTTTAAACAGAGGCTGGATGGCCAACTGTCGGGGGTGCTTTGAATTCAATTTTCTTGCTTCTTGGCAGGGGTTTGGACTGGATGGCCCATGAGGTCTCTTCCAACTCTATGATTCTATGATTCCCCATTTCATGGGGAGAAGCATCACCACCCGGGTTCCCCCATGCTTACCCCATTGTACTCAATGAGAAGACGGGAAGCCTCCTGTGTTCTCAGGACTCCACCATAGGATGAATTCAGCACAGAGCCAGAACGGAGCCCCACTGGGAGTAGCCCTTTGCCATGTGATGGGCTCCATTCGGCTCCATCCTGGCTCCATGTGGAAATCGTCCAACAATGGAGCCAAGACCCCATGTGATGAGATCGTGTTTCACAATAACACCTTCCTTAGATGAACCCCAAAGGTGCAAGATATTCCACACTAGATTTTGAAACACACTTGCTTCTTTAACAGGCAAAGATGGCAAAAATAATGTAGGGAAAGAAAAGTGATGGTATCAGGATCTGTTTGATGTTATTTTAATGTGGTCTTGAGTGATGGTCAATGAAGATAAAGGTTTTGGCTCTTATTGGCTAAAAGGGGAACTTGAATATAAAGGCAGTGAAAGAAATGCAAAAAAAATTCACAATCCATTAGCATCACAAAAATAAATCCTATTGAGATATGGACAAGTATTTATCATTTTGCAGCCAAAAGGAACTTTGTATGCTAGATTCAGTGGGTCTCTTACATTCCTTATGCTGTCAGGACTGGATATGAATTTAAGTATTGTAACCTTTAAAGATTGCCAGTTAAAATAAATTTCAGATTACTCGACATGATGCAAAAAAAACAAACAAAAAAAAACAGTGGAAAGTGAATCCTAGTTTGCTAAGAAAAAAATGGAAAGTGATTCCCTCCAAAACACAATCCTTGAATAGCAGACCGCCTAATTCAATTTCACACTTCTTGAGGGAGATCAGGAGAAGCATCTTAAAGGGAATCCAATGATTGACTTCCTTTCAATGTGGTAACATGTTGGAGGTTTATGATGCTTTTGTAAAGTTTGCTTCTATTAAAGATGTCAGAGAGCATAACTGATGTAGTACTTCCGTACTACAAAATGCAATTTTTTCAGAGAACTCACTTTTTAGGATTACAAACAGAATTTATTGGGTTTGAAATATGTAATAGGGTCTGAGTGGGAACAGCAACTGTGTCATGCTGTCCAAGTGACCACTATAAATAATTCAATTTTACCATGCTAATAGATTTGTTTCCTTTTAAGCATCACCTCATAGTTCCTAATTAAAAGATGTAAAGTGGAATTGAATTTTTATTATTATCTGACAAACTTGGGAGGCATAAGATTCCATTATCTACTTTCTCAGGGTAATTTCCCTCTTTTTCTCTCTTCCGCATTAAGGAAACTATGCACATCTGCATTGAAATAACTACTTTTTTCCTGCCACTGGAAGAGAACTCTTGCACATATTTTTTTCTTTATTAATGAAGTCAGGGGAGAAGAGTCACATACAGTTCACAAAACCTGGGGTACAACCATATACATATTCCCAGGCAGCTAATTAAACTTGATATATGAGCTTTGGAAACTGTTTGGGGGGGGGGGGRGGGCTGAATGTCCAGGAAGACCTAACACCGTAATCTGGTCAACTATCATTTTGTGAATCTAAGGAACCCTAGAGCCAAGATTAAGTTGTGACTCCAACAACTCAGGATTGACCTTTCTCTCACCTCCTGAGCCCCACCCTCTCAGCCTCAAGGTAATTAAAAATAAAAGGATATGTATAGGTGTTTCTTGTCACCCCAGGAAACACCGACACATAAGGTAAAGGTAAATGTTTCCCCCTGACATTAAGTCCAGTCGTGTCCCACTCTGGGGTGTGGTGCTCATCTCCATTTCTAAGCTGAAGAGCCGGCGGTGTCCTTAGACACCTTCAAGGTCATGTGGCCAGCATGACTGCATCCATATACACACATGAAATCATACATTTCTTTAATTAACAAAATTCACTCTGCCAGGTTTTCTGGGACTGTCTCTTTCCTTTTCTCCTTTCTAACTTCTTCACTGTTGCAAAACTTTGCCTAATTGAACTGCCCGCTCCAATATGTTACTATTCTGTTTTTACAACTGTGCTTCTGTTGTACAGCTGATCAGGGCAACACCCAAGGTTATCAAATATCATAATTTATATTATGTAGTGCTTATGTGACTTTGGACTATATGGCTGTCTTGGGAAACAAGACAGATTCTTCCACTTGACTCCCCGCTGAGAGACTGATTGCCAATAATCCCCAGGACCCAGGAGTCACTTGATTGACTTTCTGTTTTTCTGAGCCTTAGAGACAGAGCACAGATGGTGTTCAGCTAAGATAGCTGCTAAAAACGCTGAGCTAATTGGGAGACGCCCTAGCACCTCCTATGTTGGGAATTCAGGGCTATAAATCAGAAGCAGGAGCAGACAGCTTTCGCTGGTAACAACGACCCTAATACTGCTGTTTTCACTCCAATGGAATCTGCTTTGTGTCTGCTTCTAAAGACTTAGTTCATTGCCTGTTGTCTGATGGAAGACTGCTGTTTCTTTTGGGAAATTGTAAGAGACTTTAATTTGTGTCTGGATTAAGATTACCTTGCCTTCTTTTGCACTTTTCAATTGTATTTGCTTATCCTTTGTATTTGCTGAAGTAAAACATTTTTCTTTTACTTTCAACATTGTCTAAATGCTGTTTTTGAAGGGCAACTCAGGACAATTCTACCTTAATTCAAAAGTGAGGTGCTAAAAACCTATCTGCAGCCCAAAGAGACTTAGCATATCTAATTTCAGCCCCTTACTACTGGGAAATTGTGCAGGTCTGATTTAGACAGTATTCCTCTATTGATGCAACCCAGAGTTGCTGCACCACACTGTTGACTCATGTTCAGCTTGTGGTGTACTAAGACTCCTAGATCCCTTTCACGTGTACAGTTTTCCAGCAAAGTGTTACCTATTCTATATCTGTGCATTTCATTTTTACTGGTAAATGTAGCTGTGGTGTTGCAATAGGTTAAACCCTTGTGATGGCTGAATTGCTGACCTGAAGGTCGGTGGTTCAAATCCACGAGATGGGGTGAGTTCCCATCTATCAGCTCCAGTTTTCCATGCGGGGACATGAGAGAAATGTCCCACAGGATGGTAACAACTGATTCTCCCACACCAGAAGCAACTTGCAGTATGTTCTCAAGTCACTTCTGACACTATAACAATTGCATTAGAGACCATGTTGTCTGATATGATACATGGAGTACCTTCAAATCACAGATATATAACATTTTGGGTTAGATGAACCAACATCCGAACTTAATATAACAACGTCGTACATTCATGGATAGGCAGCACTTGTGACCACAGTGGGAAATGACTTTAAAAAAAAACCCAACAGGACAAATTCTAGACTATTTACAAAATCAGCATTTGGTTTCACTTGATAGAGATGGGAACTATGGTCACTGGAGTTCTTGAGCGTATATTACATATTTTTGCATAAGCTTACCTTATGCACTCTACAGATTCTGGCCGAGACTTCAGATCCTGGTGTTTAGCAGCTACTCCAAAATGAATGGGAAATAGTCCACCGAGAATAATATCTCCTTTCTTTTGTGCCCTTTGATTTGGTCCATAGGCAGAGGTATTCCAAGTAAACGCAAAAAAAAGCAAATAAAAACTATAAAAAGTCATTGTTCCTCCTTTTCACAAAGGGATTATCTTGCAAACTTCAAAATGTAAGAAGGATAAATGTAATACATTCCAACAAGCTGTTTCTCTTTGGAACAGGGCACACGATGGATTTGGCAGACATGGCTAATTGATGGTAATCCACTAGCTGTAGTTATCCATCTCACCAGTGGGTTTCTTCATTACACTCTGCAAAGTCCAGCAGCTTCCTGAGGACCACTACAGTGTTAGTTTGCCTAAAACAGAACAGATGTAAAAGAATCAGCTCATTTGCACAAAGAAATAATGTTGAACTTTCAGAGGAAGAGCCCCTCTCCCCTCCTCAAAATGCATTATTAATCTTTTATTCCTCACAACTAGCACATTAACCTTAAACAATAAGGATCTTCATACCTCTCCAGAGGTGCACTTTTAAAGTCAGGCTTCTCAACATTTATTTTTATTTTTTCATTTATTAAAAGTATTTAGATATTGCTCACCAGGATCCGTATGGTGATCTGCATCAGATAAAAACAATTAAAAGATTAAATATATAGATACAAATGTTAAAAAGAAACTAAAAACAATGGGTTGTTGTGAGTTTTCTGGGCTGTATGGCCATGTCCCAGAAACATTCTCTCCTGATGTTTCACCCACATCTATGGCAGAGGTTGAGGGGTCTGAGGTTCCCTGCCATAGATGTGGGTGAAATGTCAGGACAGAATGCTTCTGGAACATTGCCATACGGCCTGGAAAACTCACAGCAACGCGGTAATTCCGGCCATGAAAGCCCGACAACAAACTAAAAGCACTCATCATAAACAATTTAAAGGCAATGTATTGTCAAAGTTTTTCATGGCTGGAATCACTGGGTTGTTGTAAGTTTTTCGGGCTGTATGGCCATGTTCCAGAAGCATTCTCTCCTGACATTTCACCTGCATCTATGGTAAGCATCCTCAGAAATTGTGAGGTCTGTTGGAAACTAGGAAAATGGGGTCTCTATATCTGTGGAAGAAAGAACTCTTGAAAATGGGGTTTCTATATCTATGGGAGAAAGAACTCTTGTCTGTTGGAGCTACGTATGAATGTTTTAGTTGGCCACCTTGTTGAGCATTTGATGGCCTGACAGTTTTTAGAAGTGGCTTGTTACTGCCTGGGGGAATCCTTTGTGGAGAAGTGATTAGCTATCTCTGATTGTTTCTTGCCTGGAGTTCCCATGTGTTTTAGTGTTGTTCTTTATTTACAGTTATAATTTTAGAGGTTTTTTTTGTACTGGTAGCTGGATTTTGTTCATTTTGTGGTTTTTTCCTTTTTGTTGAAATTGTCCACTTTGATTAGCTTTTAATGACCTAGCAGTTTTAAGGTGAGGCTCCTTGCTGCCTGGGGAAATCCATTGTTGAGATGTGATTAGCTGTCCCTGATTGTTTCTTCTCTGCAGTTCCCCTGTTTTTGAGTGTTGCTCTTTATTTACTGTTTAAAAGCAGGCAATTAAAACAGCAGAGCAATATCAAACACCAAAGACTAGATGGAACAACACTGTTTTAGCTGCCTGCTCAGAAGAGATGGAACCAGCTAAACATCTTTTGGCAGGAAATTCTACAGTCAGGGTTCTTCTGGAGAGAAAGTCCTGCCATATGAACACCAACTTAGTCTTATCAGATGCTGAGATATGCAACCCTGAGGATTTCTAAATTAGGGCAGGCTCATGTGAGAGAAGGCGTTCTTTCAAATATCCTTGAACAATGCTTTTAAAAAGATTTTGCTGGTCAAAATCAGCACACTGAGTTACAATCAAAGGTGAAATGGAAGGCAGTGCTGTTCTTGTAAGATTCATGGTTATGTGGTCATTAAGTACATATACCTTCAATAGTAGGGATGCTGTATTAGTTGCAGCGCCTGAACAGGGCAGCATCATATAGAATGTGTTTAACAATCTAACCAGGTGGCAACTAAGGCCCCATCTACCTTTTTTTTAATAATAATTTTTATTGATTAATCACAATTGCTACATTTGTTATACATTTGTTATTACTATTACATTTTATACAACGCACTCTTTAACATGTTATTTTATTGTTTTGCTTAAACATTTTCCCCCTTTTTATTTTCGCCACAGTGCTCCCCTCCACCCGTCTCAAGCCACAATTTTTACATATCATCTGTCCAAAATCTCATTTCTTCTTGTGACGGTAACTTTCCTTCCTTATTTTTTAAACCATTTACAGAAGACCAGAAAAAGGCTCCATCTACCTTTAATGCAGCTTGAAGCTAGCTTCAAACCTGTGGTGATAGACAACAGACTCTTGTGAGAAAGAAGTGTGTGAAAGAAAGCTCTTAAAGCACATCAGTGTTCTGTGTAATCATTGCCAGGGCATCAAACTGGTTCCAGGGTTTCTTATGTAATCATCTGCTCAGTGGAATCACTTTCTTCAATGCCTGTTTGAAACTGACTTAAGTGATCAGTGTAGATGTGACCTAAGGCATGACAGCACAACATTGCCAAGCTGAACCAACTGAAGCAGAACATGTACACTCCTGGCCACTGCAGCTACCTGGCCTTAAAGCAGTCCTAGGTCCAAGAGCATCCTTATGAATCTGTGCTTTCACCGGGAGTGCAAGCATACCCAGAACAGCCACGATTCCAAATTCCAGGTTAGGCTTCCTCCCGACCATCAGTGCTCCTATCTTGTATGGTCTGATCTTCAATTTGTAGACCCACATCCAATTCTTCTTTGCATGACTCAGTACTTCAACTACCTCCCTGCCAACGGTTGTAAAGGACAGCTATATCTGGGATCATCAAAACTTTCACGACACACAGCCACAACACTCCAGATGGCTTCCCCTAGCAGCTACATGTAGATGTTAGAAAACATAGAAGACAGAACTGAATCCTTTGGATATCCATGAAGGCCACAGTTCATACCTCTGATCTAGATGTTCTTCATTATTTGGTTATTACACTGATCTATAACTTTGCCATGTAAAATATGCCAACCATCTCTCATATGTAAATAACCAAAATAAACAAACGCCAATGAAACAAATGTCACAGAAGTAGCAACAATGCAAGTCCATAAAATACTGTACACAGAAAAACTGCCACTTGAAACTTACTATCAAGTCTGTCGGAAAGTTGCAGAACTTTGTCTTTCCTTGCTTCTAAATGGACATCAAATTTAGGACCAGGCTTTTTCACATTTGGGGTGACACAATCAAGAAAGTATTCTGCTCTTTCACTACCCACCTAATGCACAGACCATGGAAAGATTTGGAAGAGGATCTCTGCTGAGATGTGTAGAATATTGATAGCTTCTGGTCAACAGAAGATGCCTTGGACCAAATTTATCTAGGACTTTAAAGGTAACCATCATCACTTTAAACTGAGGGCCCTTCCACACAGCCCTATACCCAAGAATATTAAGGCGGAAAATCCCACATTATCTGAGTGTGGACTCAGATAATCCAGTTCAAGGCAGATATTGTGGGATTTTCTGCCTTGATATTCTGGGATAAAGGGTGTTTGGAAGAGCCCTGCACTTCCCTCACTGTGGAAGAACATGCGAATCAAGAATAGGGTTCCACAGTCACGTAACCACCATCACTACACTTGGAAGGCCATCATACTTGGGACAACAAGGGATTGCCTAAGTAAGTAAGAAAACTGAACATGTCCAGTTCATAAGCTATTGGGCTTCAAAACATTCCTTAAAATCCATGCCATTGCTCTCATAGTATCCCTATGAATAAACGGAGTTGGAAAGTCATTTATACTTTATGCTATTGCTATCAATCTATGACTTTCAAGCAAATCATGAGATGTCACTAAATTTCCTACTATTCCAATTATTTCCCTGGTTGCTTGTTAGAAGCAGAAAGACAAACGAAACTAGTGCAACCCCACAAATAGCTTTACTTATTTATAAGAGCAATTGTTTTATGCTTCTTTCTATTTAAGATGGCTTACATAATAAAATGATAAGTCTAAGAAAAAGAAACCATTTAAAAAAAAGGAAAACAGTGCTATAAATAGCCAGTATGAGTGGAAAAAGTGTTCAACATCTTCCAGTTACGTTTTCAGTGATAAAATCAAATCCACAAAACCTTTTAACAACAAATCAGAAATAACAGCCAACAAACATAAGGAAAGGGCACAAATCTATGTATTAGGGAAAGATAAGGGCATCCCAAAGCAAAGCCTGAACTATCTTTAAAATAAATAAAATGGTCCTTGTATAAACATGCCCTAAAGCCCTAAACGGTTCGGGTCCAGGCTATTTAACTAAACGCATCCCGCAACCAATACAGACACTGTGGTCATTTGGGGGGGGGGGCTGCCCTCGGTCCCACCCCTGTCTCAATTGTAGTTGGTGGGAACATGAGAGTGGGGCCTTCACAGTGATCGCTCCTTCCCTCTGGAACTCCCTCTCTGTGGAAATCAGAATAGTCTCTTCACTCCTTTCCTTTAAGAAGCACTTAAAAACATACCTTGGGGGAGGAAGATGATTAGCTTATTATTGCTTTTATCTTGTCTGACAATGCTGACAGTGATTATATTTCCTTAACTTACTAGAGAGTCATGTTTATATACTTGTGTATTTTTTTTATACAGAAATTTACCAGTCTGTGGTGTTATTTATGAGGTTGATTGACTACATGTTTTAGCCTTTGTTGTTTTATTGGTTTATTTGTAACTATTTGATTTAACTGCTTGTGTGATTCCTATGTTTGCCTTTGGGAGCCACCCTGAGTTCCTTCGGGAAGAGGGGGCAGGTTAAAAATAAAGATTAATAATAATAATAATAATAATAATAATAATAATAATAATAATAATACAAGGGAGAGAGCCTTTTCCTCCGTAGCTCCTCGATTCTGGAATTATTTGCCTGGTGAGATTAGGAAAGTCCCTATCCTAGAAACCTTTAAAAAGAATCTCAAGACCTGTCTCTGCTGCTGCACTTTTGGAGAGTAGCCACAAAAGCTTTAGCTATTGCTCCCCTCAATGTTTATGTCCTAGGAGTACCCCCTCAAGGGGGGGGGGCCTTGAACGAAGGTATGTCTATTACACTGAGTTCCCCCATGCA